TATATATATACGCACACACACGCGCGCGCGCACGTGTGTTAAACATTTTTTAAGTAATTTAATAAGCATTATACATATTTTCTATAATTTAAATTCTTTCTTTAAGTATCTCTCTCCCTATTATCTTTTATATATTTAGGATAAAAATCCTAAATAAAAGATTATAGAGTATTATATAATAACGATGACAGTAGAAACTAATAGAAAAATATTTTGAACATCAGTTGCCTCCATTAAACTTTTTTCATTTAATATTTAAATATTAAAAATTAATTGTAATTTAAAAGAATAAATTTCTTTTTAGGCTGACGTAAATAAAGCAGTGGAAGCTGCTAAACGAGCCTTTAATAGAAATTCGAAATGGCGTACAATGAATCCATACAATCGTGGACAACTTATGCACAAGGTAAAATTTTGTGGTATTATACTTTTTTATACTTAACCTAATGCAAATATTAACTGCATACTAAATATAAATGAATAAAATAGTTGGCAGATCTTATTACACGCGATGTAGATTATATTGCTACTCTCGAAGCTCTTGATAATGGAAAAACATATGTAAGTGCTGTTGAGGATATTCAAGCAAGTATTGCTACTCTTCGTTATTATGCAGGCTGGTGTGATAAGATACTTGGAACTACTATTCCAACAGGTATTTATTTTTTTGAATTGTTATCGTATAATTATTCTATGTAGCTACGGACTATGTGGCTATGTATGTATATAAATAGCTAATTAAAAAATATGCGTTAAATTTTACGCATTAGTTTTTCATGACAGATATAATATAAATTATAAATTGAGCGACAGTAAGTAATTTTAAATAATTTTATTTATTATCTGACTAGGCGATAGTAGTGTTACATTAACACGAAAAGAGCCAGTCGGTATTGTAGGACAAATCATCCCTTGGAATTATCCTTTCATGATGTTGGTTTGGAAATGGGCCCCTGCCTTGGCTACTGGATGTACACTGATCTTAAAGCCAGCCGAGCAAACACCTTTGACTGCGCTTTATGGAGCTGCTCTAGCTAAGGAAGCAGGGTTTCCAGCGGGTGTCATAAATGTCATTCCAGGTTACGGTCCAACTGCTGGCGCAGCTATTGCTGAACATCCAGAAATTTGTAAAGTCGCTTTTACTGGATCCACAGAGGTATTTACATTTTATGTAATATGACTGTATTGACAGAAATGTATGTACTGGTATAAATTATGTTTCTTCTCTAGGTCGGACATGCCATAATGGTAGCTGCTGGCAAAAGTAATCTTAAACGTGTCAGCCTTGAATTAGGTGGCAAAAGTCCGCTCGTTATTTTCGATGATGTTGACGGTATGTTGTAAAAATAATGAAAAATTTTAATACACTTCGTTGAATAAATTAATTTATATTACATTGACTATATTTATAGTGAAAGAAGCTGCAGAAATCGCACATAATGCAATATTTCTAAATCATGGACAAAACTGTTGCGCAGGATCGCGAACATTTGTACATTCTAAAATATACGACGAATTTGTGAAACATGCTAAACAATTGGCACTTGATAGAAAAGTAGGGGATCCATTTGATCCTAAAATAAATCAAGGTCCGCAGATTGATCAAGAGATGTTCGATAAAGTTATGGGCTTAATCAATTCGGGCAAACAGCAAGGTGCTGTTGTGGAAACTGGTGGAAATCGGCAGGGCGAAATTGGTTTCTTTGTACAACCTACAGTTTTTTCAAAAGTAACCGATGATATGAGGATTGCCAAAGAGGAAATTTTTGGTCCAGTTCAAACAATCTTGAAATTTGAAACCATCAATGAAGTAATTGAACGTGCCAATCGCACTAATTATGGCCTTGCTTCTGGCGTAATTACTAAAGATATTAATAAAGCTTTAGAATTTGCCCAAGCTATAGAAGCAGGTAGTGTTTGGTACGTATACAAAGAATACATAATAATATTTTACTGTATGGGCATATATAATTACGTTCAATGTCTTCTAGGATAAACTGTTATGATGCTATCACACCTCAAACACCATTTGGTGGTTTCAAACAATCTGGCATAGGACGTGAATTGTAAGTCATAATTACTTAAGCTTTAAATAGTATGTTATTCAACTTTTGTATCTTTCTTTCAGGGGAGAAGAAGGCTTGAAAGAATATCTTGAGATTAAAACAATCTCTATTAATGTCACGAAAGGGAATTAATATACAAAGTGCATGATATATAAGCTTGATTTTTTATTATGCTTTTGATTATACTTTTTTTTTGTAAATGTCTTGAATAAAACTTTTGTAACAAAATATTAATAAAATGATATATATAATAATTTATTGTTCGTAATATCAAAATTTGGGAAACTGATATATATTCTTTTATTCTATTCTTTTTCTACCATGAAGCGTAGAAGAATATATATTGAGACATGTATATAGTGTCTCAAAAATTACAAAATTTTTTTATGTATATAACATAAGAATGTAAAATGGATGAAAAACAAAATAATTATATTTTAGTATTTTATAAATGTAACACTTTTATTCTATGTAAACGTTAAAACTTTGTAGATTATTTTGATATAATGATAAATATATATTTTTACCTTTATATAACACTATCGCAAAATATCTATAATGTGCGAATCGCAGGCTCAGGGTAATCATCTGGTGGTATACCTAATTCTTCGTCTGTCCACTTGGATGGATCTGGATATGGAAACTCTCCCTAGATATAAATAAAATTCTTGTATTAGGATTACTGATATTAGATACATAAAAGTAAAAACCTTGAAATTGTATGATACTTACTACAATATGGTCAAAGTCGTGCCAGAAATGCCATAATACCCACCACCACATGAAGCCTCCGAAAACTTCAGCTGCATATACCCATTTCTTTTCTTCTGCCATTCCGATATTACGATATATATAACTGATAAGGAAATAATACAGTAAATTATCGTAAATACATAGCAAAAAATGAAATAAATCATAACACATATATTCTTCTTGTGCAATGAAATGTATTTGTATTGAATATTGCGAACATTGAAACATAACCTATAACGTAGTTACATAATTTCACTTACCCACTGTAACATAGTCTAACGGAGCGCAGATTTGTCGCGGCGGCTTTACTTTGACTACTTCTATGAGCAATTTTTAATAAGTTTAATCCTCGTGAAATCATTATAACAATTAAATCGGCAATAACAAGAGCACCAAGTACTACCAAATGATTCTCATCACAATTTAATGCACTCGCCAGTGTCAAATGTCACACCATTTACACCTCCCCCTCCTTATTGCACATTCGATATTCGATTGCTCGAGAATCGCAGTGTCGACACTCACTATCGATAGATGCGTCAGCCATATTGAACCAACGGTGAATCGTGAATCATGTTCAAATTGCGCCGCTAGCTTATTTTTCACAGTTACTTTTCGTTCTTCAAAAGTGATTCGCGTCCGCGAAGATGATTAGATCATCGCGAATGTTACCGTAAAGTGTCGAATGTTTGTTATAATGCGTTGAACATCGCACACGATCCTTCTCACGTCGTTCATTACGTCGATGACGTACGTGTTGTATATATTGGCGATCCGTTTCTTTGTACGTCCGGAGTTTATTGAAATTATACTCGTATTTGAATTACGACTTTAACTGAATGTAAAAAGACAGCGAGCAGTATCGGATATATTGGAAAAAAGTGTCGGGAAATCGTCATATTATACGCGGATACAGTATATATATATTGTATATATATCTCGTCGGTGTGAACACTCGAACGTTTCGTCAGATAAACTCCGTGCGACCGTATTCGTATGTACATACGTTAAATTCTTCGTAAGTTACGTGCGTGATTTAAGCGAGATATGCAGTCTTTGCACGCAAATGATGAAATATCGTAAATAATAAAATTTATATGCATAGCAATTGTATCACAGATGCTGTAATCAATACTTTACAAGGTTAGTGCATGAATTCTTTAAAATGTACGATAATAATTAGCAGTAATTACGGTTTATTTATTTTTGCATAACCATGATCATTGCTACATATTGTTATTCAAATCCGAACATAAAATTGCTACAATTAACCTTTCCGTACAGCACAGATTTGGATGTCCTAAAGCCGTCCAAAGGACGTATTTGCGTTCTCTGAACGTCCTAAGGATATTCCCAAGATGTCTCTTGGATAAAGTGTGCTGTATGGATTCCTCAGAAAAATTCAATTTAATATTGACCTATTTAATATCGAAAATTACATATTTTTATATTTCTAATACAAATTAATGTATATGCAAAAAAATAATGTATTTTTTAATTAGAGGTAAATTTGGTGGAGGGAGAGAGAGAGAGAGAGAGAGTCAGTTGCTTTCAATGGCTACGGTTACACCGTGCATTTAGGCCACGGCCTATACAATAGATGTCTTTGTTTATCCTGTATATTAAACAAAGACATCTATCGTATAGGTCGCGGCCTAAATGCACGGTGTAACCGTAGCCAATATTCAAAATAAGTAATTAATCACTATACCTTTCAGTATTAATTAATTTCTGCAAGGGCTTCATGTAGGCTATTCGGGATTGTTTTGAACTTGTCACAAATTTTCTAGTTAAAAATAGATTACTTTTTACTTAGATATGTTAATTTATATTAAAATAATCTTGAATTTAAATAAAAATCATTATGAGTTATAAGTGCATTACATATTACTCATAAAATCTTCTTGTATTACACGGAATGGATCCGAATAGCTTTAGCGTAAAGTCAATTTCAATAGCCTATGAAATTTAATATGATTGCTACGTTTGTAAAAGTATGTGCATGAATTAATGAAAACCTTTTTTTTAATTTTGTTATGTATCTTCTTAGATTAAAGAATGTGTTGGCCGTGATTTAAAAAAATTATAACGTTATAACGTAGTAATGAGATAAATAGTATTATAACGCATTATAAGAATTTCATTTATCTCATTTGTCTATTTCTCAAATTCATACGATTTTATATATTATTTATATTTGAATCACAATTCTAAGAATATGGCTTTCATTAAAAAAAATATTTTACGTTCTACATCTTGATTTAGAGGCACGCGTCTAATAAAAATGTGATTGTTATTGTTTAAAAGTATATTTTGCATAAAGTTTAGAAAGTGTTTCATAAAATGATCGTCGTAATAAAGATATTACAATATCGTACAGTTGTCAATTATACATACATTATATCCACGATATTTGTTCACATATATGTATCACACAATCGCGTATTTTTTCTGCATCGAAAGTGCAATTGGTCCACATTTATCGCATGTCAACTCTATATATAAATGTCATTTTTTATAAAATGACTTAAATTCCTTATACTTCTCATAATATTCTTTATATAATATTTAAATAGTGTTAAGGGTATATTCGACTTGTATATCGATATGACATTCTTAAATGCCGTAATCATATATAGTATGTTGAATATTAATTAAGTCATAAATATTTTTCTTTTCCAAAGCTTTGAGATTAATATCATAACTGTTAAAATAAAAACTTTTTATTAATTTTTTGTATAAAAATGTTAAGTGAAATACCGAACGTGATGATAGATGTTTTCGCGTATTATATTTTTTGTTTGTAAAAATAAATTGAAGTAAATTATTGGATTCTATAAATTTTTAATCTTGAATTCCTATTAATAAAAAGGATTTATAAATTATTATTAGTTAATAAAAGTAAAATAAAAATAATAAAGTTGCACATATTTAATGCTTTGTTTGGATTTATTAAAACGATTATGTCTTGAATCGCAAGTGTTAATGAATAATTGAAGAGAATTAAGTAAAAAAAATGTAATATTTAAAATTAAATATATCACGAATAATAATAATATTAATAGAAAATATTAATAGAATGTGACAAATATGTAAAAATTTATCGAGCATTTGTTATTATCAGAAAATATGTATGAAATATTTGTTTCCAACGAAAATATGCCGAAAGATAGGTATATCAATCGTCCGTTTAGGAATATTAAAGATTTTTTTAAATATTTATTGTACATTGAAAAAAAATTGTTCAATTGACTAAATTAATTTAGTTAGTTGAACAACTTTTTCTCGATGTAACATAAATTAAATTACTGTCATTCACATTATTTATATTATTATAGTGTCATATTGATTATAGGTTTTAATTGTCCAAACAATGATATCGATGAAACAACGAAAGAAGTGGCGACATATTTTGGTGAGTACATTTATTTATTTATTTATTATCAATCAATTTATTACGAATCATAAAAATCAGACAAACACTTATTTATCTTTTAAAATATAAATTTTAAAACAGTTATATATTTTATATAGTAAATTATATTTTTAAGACAACGTTTTTTAAGTGGTAAAAGAAAAGTTACCTAGCGTCCGTTCCATTTTGTCCTTCTTTTACGAGATTAATTTACGACAGCTTAACATTCGATGGAAGTCGTAGAAGTATATCAGTCGTGGAATGTTCGCCATTATCCATGGTACGACTGAAACTCGGGGAGCAAAGGGGCACATTCGTATGTTAGGGGAGCGTTGCAGCCCGTTGCTATTGGCTGAGCAAACGCTTTTACAAGCTGCAGCGAGGCATTTGATCCCCCAGTAGCAACCCTCCCGAGACTTATCTCGCATTGGCGCTTCAGCCATAATAGCGGCCCCCGGTTGTACCTAATAATATGTTTTATAGAGGTCGTCGTCCAGTATCTTTCGCCAACGAACGAGCTCTTAACCGTAGATACGAAACACCCGTATAGCTTAGAACAAAATTGTCTTTGCAGAAATGTACGGAATGAAAAAGTATAAAAGTATATATTTAAATAATAGGATATTAACTTTATAGAAAAAAAATATACAATGCTATTTTATATAATATTGTTTTAATATGATATAATTTATATACATATACATTTTTCACGTATCAATATTATCTGTATTATTATACAGGATGTTAAAATAAATCATGTAGCATTTATATAGTAGATAATACATACTGTACTGAGCAAAAAAGTCTTAGCAAACATAGGTCGAAAGAGCAACCGTTTCTGAGACATATAACAACTTTGTATGTTAGTCTCATAACTAACTTATTGTCTTTTCATGTTGCATATGACATGAAAAGAGAGAAATTGAGATAAGTAGCATATACATAGCCTATTTAAGAGAATTACAGATCCAATGAGATGACCTTCCATAATACTTATTCAATCGTAATGGCTAGTTGATGTCAACTTACTGATTCTCTCGATGAAATTTTTCATTATAAAAAGTGTGTATGGAAATTGAATTTGAAGATTCAGAACGCGATTTGTAAATACTAAGATAAACCTTCACGTTGCATACGACACGTAGAAGCTGATAAGTCAGTTGTGATACTAACATACAAAATTGTTTATATCTTAGAAATGGTTGAGCTTTCGACCTATGTTCATTAAGACTTTTTTTGTCAGTATGATATACCATCTACCACATAAATGCTAAATGGTTTTTTAAACACCTTGCATTTAAATTAGTAATTGTTGGAATCTTTTGTTTTCAAATTGCATATATTGGTAGAACCCGAGTAGTACTAACGGGATCTGTAACTAAAAGCAGAAATATTTATCTTTTTCTTGTATTTTAGAGCATAAAATTTGCGATGTTAACACGTTATATTTCTAACTTGATTTTTTAATATAAAAAATGTCGAACTCTTTTTTATTTTATAAGGAACTGTAGAACTGTGAAAAATGCTACTGGAACTGTTATTTTTTTCATATTAATAGAATCGTGCTAACTTCATGGATACCCAAAAATGAGATCTATGAAGTTAGCACGACATTCTGTTTAATATAACAAATAATGAAAGCACTTTTCATGGTTCTACAGCTTTTTATAAAAATAAAAACGAGTTTCGCATTTTTTATACTAAAAAACTGAAATTGAAAAAATTATAGCCGGAACTCTGTTTACAAATAATTGTAGAGTATATATATATAGCTCCCTGTTAGTACTAACGAGAAATGTCGCTACAATTGCGATTATTACATTTTTACGATTATTAAAACATTTCCATGATGTACATGTAATATTATGGTTTCTATAAATCTTCCTCTTTTGCATTCACACATTCGATATCTGAAAGATATCAAACCGTTTTATGTAATTTGTGTATTTATTTTTACATGATTTACACATATACACGCGCAAAATTAATGATATAATAATTATTAAAGTATTAAAATATAATATTTTACTCTTGGCCAATACTTAAA